ATGGCCTGAGAAACAAGACTCAGGAACTGGCTGCGTTTCTCTCACAAGAAAACATAGATATAATGTTAATAACAGAAACTCATGAGTGCCCCACTACACAAATTTTCGGATACGAACACTATCAGGCTCATGGTGAAGGAGCAAACTGCTTTGGTGGATCCTCAATCCTCATACGAGCAACAATACCGCATACACCTTTACTGCCAATTTGCAACGCAACAATGCAGGTCTCAGCCATCACCCTGCCTACGTCTATTGGAGCGATCGAAGTTGCGTCAATTTATCTTCCGCCAAACACTGGTCTGTGTGATCATCACATGGAACAGGTTCTAGGCCAAAGGTTGAATAAGACCCTCATCGGCGGCGACTGGAATGGATGGCACCCATTTTGGGGAAGCAATAGTGCGAATCGTCGCGGAGAAGTCATATTTGAGGCGATTCAAAACTTACAATTCAGCATATTGGCGACTGGAGCCCCCACCCGTTACCCAATTAATGGACACAGGCCCTCGGCAATCGACTTCGCTGTCTACAAAGGCATCTGTGACCGGCAATTGACCATTGAAGAATCCTTGGACCTATCCTCTGACCACCTGCCACTAATAGTCACAATCCACGCGCAGCCACAGCCCTTGCCCATTAGGAAACAACTACTGCCAGCAGGATCAGATTTAGGAGTCTTTAGGCGCGAGCTCCATTACTCTTTGCACATAGAAATGGAACTTAACACTCCTGAAGACGTGGACTACGCAGCAAACAAACTGCAGGAAGAAATAGTCAAAGCTGCGCACCAAGCCGCCCCACCATCTTGCCAAACAAGACAACAGTCTCCGTACAACATCCCCCTCACCTTGGAGGCCCAACACCTACTAATACACAAAAGATGGGCCAGGAGACGCTGGTTAAGATTACGCACGCCTGATGCCAAATCCATGTACAACGAAGCCACGAGGCATCTTAAAGCTGCTCTCGCCCTGCTTCAAAAGAGGTGTATCAGCGATGCGCTGGTACGAGCTGAATCGCCCACTGACGCAGAGTTTCAATTATGGAAATTTACAAGAAAGCTCAAACGGCAGCCAATACGACGTCATCCCATTCGGAGCATTTCTGGTTCCTGGCACATTGGAGACGAAGCTCAAGCTGAGGCTTTTGCAAACCACCTTCAAGACCAATTCACGCCGGTGATTACCGCAGAGGCCTCAGAAATCGAAGCAACAGAAGACATCGTTCTCTCGCCCCTCCCAGCTGAAGACCAGATAACTGGATGTACAAAAGAAGAGGTTCTTGAACACATCAGAAGAGTGAAGGCAAAAAAATCCCCTGGATATGATCTAATAAACGGCAGAGTCCTTAGAGCACTGCCTGACTCCACCATAGACTACATAACTATGGTGTACAACGCCATGCTCCGCATCCGGCACTTTCCAGCCTGCTGGAAGCGCGCCGTGATTGTGATGATTCCTAAGCCTGGCAAACCCGTGGGAGAAATTGAGTCGTACAGACCAATTAGCCTGTTGCCAGTACTCTCCAAAATATTCGAAAGAATATTTCTGGAACGAGTACTGACACATCTGGGACGCCAGGAGGCCATTCCAAACCATCAGTTTGGCTTCAGGAGACAGCATGGAACACCGGAACAGGTTCACAGAGTTGTGCACCATATCCTTGGAGCCTTTGAAGAAAAGATGTACTGCTCTGCCGTCTTTTTAGACATCAAACAGGCGTTTGATCGAGTTTGGCACCTGGGACTGCTGCAGAAAGTGAGGACCACCCTTCCAGCCCCATTTTTCGCGTTGCTATCCTCATACCTTATTGGAAGAACCTTCCAAGTGTCAAGGGGGCAAACAGTATCCTTGACTAGACCAATTATGGCTGGAGTACCACAGGGTAGTGTTCTAGGCCCAACACTTTATACTTTATTCACAGGAGATATGCCAACTCCCGAGCCAAATATAGGAAGTACAGATGCAGTACTCATAGCGACCTATGCAGATGACACCGCCATCTTATCACGTCACGTATCTGCGCAAGAAGCTTCAGACTCACTACAAAAATATCTGGACTCTTTCGGACGCTGGGCAAAACGGTGGTGTATCACCATTAATGCACAAAAGTCTGTACATACTACCTTCGCCACTAGAAGAGGAGATTGCCCAAGCGTTGCATTGGGGCCCACTATTCCCAAAGCCTCAAAAGTAAAGTACCTTGGTATCACTCTTGACAGAAGGCTGACTTTTAAAGCGCACATAAGTCAAGTAACCTCAAAATGCAAAAGCAAGCTAAAAACCCTCGACTGGATGCTGAGAGCTTCAAGCAAGTTGTCTTACAGCAGCAAGGCCGCCATCTACAAGGCAATAGTTGTCCCAACCTTCGTATATGGTATCTCTCTATGGGGCTCCTCGGCGAAGACTACAAGGAACAAAATTCAGACCCTGCAGAATAAAGCACTACGCAGATGGACTGGAGCCAGCTGGTTTGTAAGAAACTCAGTCTTACATAGGGATTTAGCAATTCCCACAGTTGCTGAACTCATTGGGCGACACAGTTCAAGATACGCGGACAGACTTGCAGCGCATCCTAACCATCTCGCAAGCAACCTGGCTATAAACAACAATAGGCGAAGACTGAAGAGATTGCATCCTCTAGACAATATTAGAACTAATTAAGATAGTAGCTACAAGTGCAGAATAATTGGCATATCTGCCCTCCCATTAGTTAAGGTTTAGAGCTAAATGCGCTATAGAGTCTAAGACAATAAGCTGCAACAAAATAAAGAAATAAAAACGAAAAAAAAAAAAAAAAAAAAAAAAAAAAAAAAAAAAAAAAAAAGTTTAATTATCTGAGCGCGCAACGCACAACAATTCTTCACGCTTAACAGGGTATTTTCACATTCAAATAAAGAAAATAAAAAACAAAGAAAATAAAAACAAAGAACTTTTCCTTTTGCTTTTTCGCCTCACGATTCGAGTGACTGGGAAGTCTTACGCTTTAGTGTTTGCATTCTGAACTTTATATAAAAAAAATCAATTCAATGCTATTCAAACTGTACAAGTAAATTTTCAATTGTTGTATAGCTGAAAAAAAGTTAAATTAGTTTAAACGAACAAACATTTTTGATATTTCGCTTCGAGCCACTGTTCGAAAATCTAAAATTGGACAATTGCAATTTATTGAATTTGGCTTTTATTGAGACGAATGTTTAGCTATTTCAGGCTGTTCAAATTCAATTAAGCATTTCCGTTTTAATGTTTAAAATATATATTTTGAAATAGTTTATATTCTCCAACGATTTCTCTGGCCTGACCACTTTTGTTTGGGAACGCGAAAAATATGTTAACAATTAAGTTTCTTTCCACTTTAATTTAAATTCATTTAGTTCTTCATTGTTTTTATTCGGTTTCAATTTGATATCATTTTTGTTTTAATTAAATCTCATATCAATTTTGTCTTTATTGCGTTTCAATTTTCTATTTAATTTCTGTATCATTTTATTTTAATTGCAATCCTGTTTCCATTCCGTTTCGATTAAATTTTATATCAGTTTCAATTCTATTTCATTTCAGTTTCAATTCGATTTCAAGCCTGTTTCAAATGCGTCTTACTATTTGCAACTTGTCACTTATTTTTTTTATTTTTGTATTCGCATTTTAAAGTATTTTTAAAACAACAATGTATATGTAAACAATGTATTTAAATTCATGGAGCTCACTTTGAGTAGGGTAATTTTCGTAAGCTACAATCATTTACTAAAAGTTAGTTTTCATTTCGATTTTATGAAATGTTCTTCATTTGATGTGCAAACTTTGCCCTGGCTTGAGTTACTTAAAAAACAATTCGTGCAGCAGAATATGCATAGAAAAAGTGCTTAAAAAAGTCGAAAAATAAATATGCTATACAAATATATATATATATATATATATATATATATACATATATGCACAGATATGTGCATAAGTTTTTCTTAAGTTAAAGTTTTGAGAAGAAAAGAAATTTTGATGTCGCATCGAAACGTTTTTACATTTTGAATATAATTTGTATGCAAATTGTAAATCTTTTGCAGCTCTTTTAGTCCCGGCAAATGATGCGAACGAAAAACACGCTAAAAGCTCAAGAATTTTACGTGACAAAGGGCTATATAATTTTGGCCTTTAATCGAATTTGGTCGTAAAACACGCATTTTATGGGTGGCGAAAAATACAAATTCGGTGTAACATTTCGCAGCACTGCTGAGCGCACTTCTCATGGAATTTCACTTTGCTAGGGTATTTAATCTTTAACTGCTTTCGAGCTAGCTATAGATGCGTATATATATATATATATATATATATATATATATATATGTATACCTGGTAGATACAATTAAATAGAGCCTCAGCGCAACTATCTCGGTGGCTGTCAGCTCTAGTTGCTGCCGTCTCTGTCTGACGCTGTTCAACACTTAAACAGTGTGTAATTTATGAGCATTTTCTACTTCTCCCATTTCTTTTTTGTGTTCCTCGCACTCAACTTACGGAAATTTTCAATTTGCAGGTACATTTACATTTTTGTGGAGCTGGTCGGGCCACATAATTAAAACGAAACGAGAGCGCGCTACAAATATTTGCATAAAACGCTGTCGGGCTAATAAGTAATGAACTAAGCCAACTTTAAAAGGCAAACAGCGCGCTGAACAAAAAACCATTACAAATACAGATAAATACCCCTACCGCCCTCCCAGTACAAAGAGTATAGAAATATATAGAGCAACGATTGCAGCAAAAGGCAACAGCTCAAAATATATTGAATAATCAAGTGCATTGCGCGATTTCTTTGAAATTTATGCAACACTGAAAAAAGCGTCACAAAGCCAAAAAGAATAAACACAATCAACAGGGAAAGAGAGCGAGAAAGGGGGGAGAGAGAGAAAGAGAAGGGTAGCGAGGGAGAGAGGGACAGCAAGAGTGGCAACATTGCCATATAACGGGATTTTTCGCCTGATTTACTGTTTGCTGTGCTTGCAGCCAACAGCGGAACATCAATCCCTTGCCAAGCCAGCACCTTTCACAACAACAAAAACAGCAACAACAACAACAGCAACAGCAACAAAATGCGTGGCCGTCACTTGCGCCGACGTTTCAGCCTGCAGCCCTCGTTCATGAAGGATGACAGTGCCGAGGATAAGCCCAAGCGTGACAAGTAAGTTATGGCCTCAAATACATATGGTAACAACTACAGCAACAACAGTACACACATACACACACAAGCTCACACATGCATAAGCTAAATTACATAGCCACATGTCAGGCAGATCGACAAGCCACCCGCAGAGCGAGCTTAAAACGCGTGAGAATTATAAGCAACGTTTGCTTATAATTATTATACTTTTTCATATATTTTCAGCAACGCATACTGCATAGGTTTAGCCATACCTTACACATTAATATATTGCTTTGCTCAATAATATTTGATATTTTAAATAAATATTTATTTAAACATGTTATATGTAAAATATAAATAGAAAAAATATATTTTCAAAATTAATATATATATATATAATTATATATTTGTCAAAATTGCATCAAATACATTTTTACTAATATTTTACTATACATAAAAAATAATCTTAACTTAAAAATAATTTAATTTCTAATTTTTAGCGTCTTTAATACCATTTTATATTTTTTATTTTTTTTAATTAAACTTTCTTGCGAAATTTAATTTATTATATATTAATTTTTTCCGGAAATAGATTTAAATTTTTTAATGTATTTTTTATTAAGTCCATTTAAAATCAATAAAAACCAATTTTTAGCTTTGTATTTGTTTCAGTTTATTGCCTTTTTTAATACAAATTTGGCTAGCCACTTTTTGTTTTATAATTTTCTTCCACATTGATTATAAAAGTGTAATTTCTGATTTGTTGTATATATAAATTAATTATTTATTTAAAATTATTTATTTATTAATTAAATTATATTTTATTTCATTTTCTTAAATATATTTTATATTTCATTGTAAACTTTTAAACATACCTTAGGCAGGAAATATATTTTTACAATTTTCCGCTAGTCCCTGAACTGTAAGTGTATTTAAAGTCCGTAGTGCAGCATCGCTCAATGACATCTATTATGTTAATTAAAATGTGATTTCTTCACTTTTTTTATTATTAAAAATAGTTTGTTAAATTGCTGATGCACAATGTAGGTATGTCCGTGGGGCAATGAATGAAACGCAAATTGTTTTTTAATTATAACCAGATTCCATGGCATGTGTTCCGCCTGTTGTGTACCGAGAGAGTAGAGCAGATGTCGCAACAAGCGCGAAATGTTATTAAATTCAATAAGAAAAAAACAACTACAATAACGGGTAAAAGGAATCCGACAGTGAAATTGTTAAAGTTCTTGCAGATATTGAATTCCTTAGAGTAGAAAGAATTTTATATTGCTTTTTTTCTTTTTTTTCTTACATTTATTTTGTTTCAAGTGGGAATATTACCAGTTGATGCCCAGGTGGATGTCACCTGCATGTCCGCTAACTGTCTAGGCTACAGGGAATGGCGAGGGGCAGCCCGACGGCATTTGCCAGATTAATTTTTCCCCCTACAACAATTACCTTTTTGCAACGTTTCAAGTTTTGTCTCACTTTGTTGTTGTTGGCCGTTCTTATTTGCTCGGTAAGACGAGCGTCAGTGGCCACCCTCACCCGCCACGTCCGCCAAGCAATGATAAGGCATTCTACGGCTGATTTGCCAAGTCCCAGTCTCAGGGCAGGGACAGAGATTCGTCGGATGGTCGAATGGTCGCAGCATTGAACTAAGGGACCATCTTTTGCATACTTTTCTTTTGTTTTCCCAGCCAACCTAAGAATTTTAGCTTTTGCAGCTTTTCGTTTTTCTCCAGCTTCCTTTTTGCTTCTTTTGGGCCGCATATTTGCGCTGATTATTTGCTCTTCTTTGTTGTTGTTATTTTTTCACTCTTGGTTTTCGGTCCGTCCGATGTTGAAAATATATATATATATATATATTATAAGTCGCTTAGATCAAACTGTCACTGCAAACTGTTTTCGCGCAATTGAGATTCCATTGTTCTTCGTGCTGCAAACTGCTGCTGAGCCTGAGCTGGGTCTTAAAATTAAATATTTTGCATAAAAAACTAGAGCTTAATGGCTAGTGCGAATGAATTGCATTAAAAAGTTCAAGCACTGATTATTATACCATCAGTCAGTCTATCCATAATATACAAAAATTATTATTAATCATATGTAATCATAATATGTTGACAATTCTGTTTGATATGTGTTTCAATTCAGTTTCAATTCTTTTTCAACTTGCTTCTAATTTTATTAATTCTCGTTTTCAATTTTGTTTCAATTTTGCTTAAATTCAAATTTGTATACTAATATATATATATACTAGATAGTATATTCAAATTAAATTTAGATCCAATTCTGCTGCAATTTTAATTTTGTTCTTTTTTTTAATTTTGTTTCAATTCAGTTTCGATTCAGTCTCGATTCAGTTTCAATTCAGGTTCAGCTCGATACCAATTTCGATTCAAATTCAATTCAGTTTCAAAATCAATTCAAATCAGCTTAAATTCAGCTTCAATTCAGTTTCAATCCACTTTCAGTTCAATTTTACACTTGTTGCCGCCTGTGAAACGTTGACGAAGACAACACAAAGCAAAGCTAAAAACTGCAATGCAATGAAAAATGAAATTGTTAAATTGCGTGCAACTGAGCTGCGGCAGCTGCAACGACAGTTGTTCAAAATATAATTCATTATAAAACGCTGCTGTTAAAGGCAGACAATATATACCTTTTCGCACACACACACGCGCGTTAGTTTGTCTTTATCTGTTGTCTTTGGTCGCGTCGTCGTTGTCCTGGCGGCAAACTGATTAATTTTAAATGTAGCGCACAGTTTTAATGAGTCGCTGAGGAGATTGAAGCGTTGCAGCAGTTGCTGTATACATCCAAAATGAACCTCCGCAGCCCCCTCTCCACTCACCCTTCTGCCCCCTGGGCGTATTGTTATATGTCAGTAGCTGAAGTAGTATGTGCCAGAATATACGTACATACGATTAAATTAATAAACATGGAAAAACGAACGCAAAATAATTCAATTTAAGTTAACTCAACTTGCAAGTCAATTTTTCTGTGGCGCTCACTTACTGTCTTCCTTGCTCTATCTATCACTGACTCTATCTCTTTTTCTCTTTCTCTCTCTCTCCTTCGCCCGCTGTCAATAGAGTGGGCCGAAATAATGCTGTGGACGATGCCATTGGACCGGCAAATGCACGTCATAAAATTGTGGTCATGGGCGCGGCCAAAGTGGGAAAAACTTCGATAATCACACAATTTCTGTATAACACATTCACCACGAAATATAAAAGGACCATCGAGGAAATGCATCAGGGAAACTTTTCAATTGCGGGCGTCAGCCTAACGCTGGACATACTCGATACGGCCGGCTCCTATGAGGTAAGTCCTCTTCACATTATATGTTTTATGTGTTAGCTCACCTTTGCTTAGTTACCTAAGTGAGTTCATTAAGTAAATCAAATTGCGTGTAAAGGGCTGCACGCCAGCTGCGTGGACTGCTCTTCCAGTGTATATACACTCTCTGTATGTATGTGTGTGTATGGGCATGCGTGTGTATACCTGTGTGTGCGCTGCTTTTAATTTTTAAATACCCGACTCTAATGGCTTTCAACACCCGCACACCCATTGGCATTCAGTTAGTGCTTCTTTTTTTTCTTTTTTTTTTTAATAATTCAGAACGATGCTTGGGCGGCGTCGCCGTTGTCGTCGCTGCTCATTGTATCCCATGTACTTGCCCCTTCCACACGAGCTGTGCTCCAGCTTCTTCTGCTTTTGTGTGCAGCGGAAATTACAGCCTGCGATTCAATTTCGCTGCCACTTCCGCTAAACGCGAATTGAAATGCTTGTTCATAAAACTGAATGGCAAGTAACAAACGGCGTCAGCAGGTGCCAAATGAAAAGAAATATGAATGGGCACACACACACTCACTCACACACGCACACTCATGTCAGACATCCATCGAGTGCAAAGCAAGTCAAGTGTGACTGCAGCAAAAGGATGCTCAACTCAGCTCAGCTCAGCTCTCTGCTCACAGCTCACAGCTCACAGCTCTCAGCTCTCAGCTGGCTATGTCCTTGATGCATTTGCCCTGGCTACAGCAACTGCTCTAATATGTTTTATCATCAGCTTAAGTTATTTTACAGCCTTCGTCGTAACATCAATAAATTATATGTATCTGCATATCCAGTAGAATGCTATTGCCTTTCCAGCTTTTGATCAAACATCATTTGTTCAAATACAAAGCTGCCGATGGCATTAGAGAGTGCTTAGTGATAAGAAGAGGAAGAATAAATCATAACTGAAAAAACATTTGGAGCTCACTCTATTGGAATAGACTTCCATCATGTCAGGTTTTTAAAATGAATTTCATATTCGTTTCATTCTAGAATCAAGATTACCTCCATAATGACAGGCTCTTGACATATTCAAACTTAAAAGTAAAAAAACCTCAAGCCTTTTGAGGTTCTGTCACATCAAGATGTTATCTAAAAATACAACTTTCTTTGAAAATTCATTTTCATCTATTGACTTTATTATTGTTGCCCTCTCACTCTGACTCGCTCTCGACCTCTCTTTTCTTGCTCTGGCAATATTTCGAGCTAATGGTTTAAGGTTGCAAGAAGCTATTTCACTTTCAGTTTCCTTTGGAAAACTATAAGCTCTTGATTACTAAATGTCACGTAGTCTAGTCAGACTAGACGAAGAGAAATGTTCTAAGCGCTGATTCCTATAAAATTCCGTCAAAATATTTTACACAGATCCTGAAAGAGTTTTTTAATGCAATACAAATAAAACTTGAAGCCTTAAAAATTCTATAAATAATACGAAAATAACAAAACGAAACGAATGCATTTTACATTTACAACCTCAGAACAAGAGAGAGAGAGGCAGACTTAATGTGTATGGATGCTGCTAGCATGTAATATATAATATATGTATAAAGCATATGTTAGTGAATATATATATATATATATATATATATATATGTAATATCGAGTTGTTGCTTGCCCTTATGCACATATATTTGACTGTGGCAACTGTTGCCTCACGAGTGCCGTCGCAATTTCCGTGGCTCGACAGGCAAACAGCAGGCGGTGGACGCCAAAGAATGTTACAAGTAACAAGTAGCAAGTACATATATGCAACATGTACTCGCTCTCTCTCTCTCTCTCTCTTTGTCTGCCTCACTCTCTGCCGCTATTTGAGCAGCAAATAGTTGTGCGCGCTTGTCGCCACCCACGAAGCCATTTGACAAGTTGCTTTTACATCGAAATGAAGCTTGTCGCAAATCAAGCTTAATTCCCACCATTTATCGTGTATGGCAGGCACATCAATTATGCATTTGTTCGAGCGTTGAAAGCCGAGCCTAATAGCCGCAGTTGGAATCACAATTGACAAGCAGCTACAGCCAACTGTCATATATGGCCATTAAGCTGGCCTCATGCAGTTGTCACCTGATCTGAGCGTTCACCTGAAATTAAATGTCATTTGCCATTGTGTTCAATTTGTGCTTAGACACAATGACAATAACACGAATTGTCCAATTTAATATTTGTCAAGCGAGCTGAGGTTCAAATTTGTATTTAATATCGTGTCTAAGCGTTTGTCAAGTTTAACAGCCACATAATTGGCGCTTAGCTTAATTTATGTCTGCTTGAAATTAATTTGCGAGTTTTCTTTATGACAACAACTAAAACACGAAATTCTTGTAATAATAGTAAAATCGGCTTTGGATTGCAAATATTTGGTAAATTCCATGCATATTTTATAGGAAGAAACGTCTAGACCACATGCCCGTATAGAAATTTTTTAATTCAGCTTGAACTGAAAACGAGACGAACCTAATATACCCTTGGCCCAATTACAAGCGATTGTTCCTGCAGGCGCTATAAATTATAAAAAGGAAAGAACTTCCGAAGAAAACTTGGTTTTTCATCTAGCTATGCTGTAGAGCTAGAGATATTTATGGAGACAGGATGATAACTAATAGATCCTTTTTGGATTGCAAAAGATTTTGTGCTAAATCAGTATAAAAACTTTATCAGAAAGATGAAAGATAAAGAACCGTTTTCTCTATGATATGTGCTGAAATAAATAAAAACATAAATGGAATTTAAATGCTTAAGCTAATACTAAGCCTAATGCAAATACTAATACTAATGCTAATGCTAATGCTAATGCTAATGCTAATGCTAATGCTAATGCTAATGCTAATGATAATGATAATGCAAATACTAATACTAATGCTAATGCTAATGCTAATGCTAATGCTAATGCAAATGCTAATGCTAATGCTAATGCTAATGCTAATGCTAATGCTAATGCTAATGCTAATGCTAATGCTAATGCTAATGCTAATGCTATTCAATGCAAAAGAAATACCATTTCTGGAGTTCAGTTCCTTGGTAGGGTATCATGACGTTGAGCATTCTCGCCGTATGCAACATTTTTGCCTTGGACTGTAACTCGACTAAAAACAACAACAACAACAAAAGCAACGAAAACTCGCATAAAATTTTAACACATTTACGCAGCGCTCATAAATTTTATGATGTGTTGAATATTCCCGAGGGCTCAGACACTCGACGACGAGCGCCACATAAATCGCATAGTGCCAACTACCCCATATGTGAGTGTGTGTGTGTGTGTTGCCGCATATTTATACACACACACACATGATGTGTGCGTCGGGTTAGACCTCTGCGAGTGGCTAATAATTTACAAACTGCCCTGGGACTGGGCTAAGGGCAAACGGATTTCAGATGGCATCAGGCACTAGTAAAATAAAAATTGGCCTTTGTTCGGCTCGAATGATGAGATTGAAGTGCCCATAACTAGAGCACCATCAAATAAATCATATCACATCATGTCGTGTGTATGCATTCTCGTAAAAATTTATACTTCTTATCACAGCGATAAATTTTTTACATGCAGCCCAATATCTATAATTAATTTGTTTATTAATTAAACATGAATATCGAACTGAGCTTGATGAATGGCCAAATATTATATGTAGATGCATATATTATTAATGAAATATAAATTGCGAATAGATATCTAGATCGAAATGCCATTTCAAAGATATTTACATAAGTCAAGCTAGAAGCTTGCTATGGTAACAGGCAGAAGAAGGAGGAATTTAAAATCTATTATGTAGGTCTAGGTGAATAGACAGACTTTGACTGCAAATATATTAGAGAATACTTTACTTTATTTAGGAAAATGAAAAACAAAAAAAGAGCAAATAAAACAATCCTTTTTGACAGGCAATTAAAATAGATAAATGCCAAAAGAACGTCCTGCAGAATAGCAATTCAATTTAATTGAACAAATTGTCAACGGAAAATAATTCTTTTAGCTATTAGTTCCATTGTGTTTTGTGACAGTTGGTGACAGAAATTAATTGAAATGCAACCGCTTCGTTTGTAGACTAATATTGTATATTCACATATATGTATAGAAGTTATCGCATTTGTGGTTAACAATCCCACGATCAGCCATTTGAACAAAGCTTAGTTCGCTTTCCTAGTGAATTCGAGTATTTGATGTTTGTGTATTGCGTGTACGTGCGGGCGTACAGCGCGTATACGCAATCATTTTCAGCCAAGTAGCCGCAATAAACTGCATTCTGCGGTGACATCTAGCAAACAAAACCGCAACAGCATGCACACAAACACACACACATACACACACACACACGGACAGGTTATCAGCTGCTGGCGCTGGTTGCACGCTTATCGCAACGGCAGCCATTGCATCTGTTGGGGCAGGCGCACAAGTGCGGAATGATGAGCGGCATGTGGGTGGGGCGAGTGAGCAGGTTAGTGGCAATAGTTTCCACTGGCTTAGCACAAATGCTGGCGGCCATTGTGCAAAAAATGTTTCACGGCCCGAGAGCTGTGGCAACGTGGCACACGGTGCGTATGAAATATTTCCTTTGCTAGCCGAGGCAGACACGGATAACAAACGCAGGATATTTTATGAAAAGCGCTCTATAAGTGCCCACGCAACAAAATTCAATTAATAGACTGCCAACTACTGCCTCCACATGCACTATATATTATTGTTTCAAACAAAGTAAATGAAAAAATACAAATAAAATGTAAAAAAGAACAGAAGAAAAACAAGGCAACCGACTGTACAATGCTATGGGTAACTAAGCTAATCTGTTTATACTACTGATAGTTTACGAATTGCTATCGATAGTGCCAAGTTGTATAACAACAAAGGGCTTTTAGCCATATGTGGGTTAAGCGCTTAACAATTTAATTCCATGATGAAATGCATTTCACTAAAAGCGACGGAAGCTTTTTATAAGCAGATTAATATGTGGCTCTGCGCCGAGGTGTGTTCGTGAACTTAGCACTGATTATCGATA